CTCTATACAACGAAAGGAGACTACGACCACACAAAAGACCACACCATCTTGGTCTTCATACTTTCGGTTAATTTATTTATATTTATATTTATATTCGCATAATTACATATTCACATACGTACACACATTGTCTAAATACGTAAATATATGTATCCATGTACACATTCTTTTTATGCCTCAGACGCTGCCAGTCGACCGGTCGCCTGCCCTGTTCATCTGCCGCCTGTTCTTCTTCGGTCTTCTCGATCGCTCCTTCCTTTGGCCGTGACCACTCGCTCGGTGGCGCTACCGGTCAGAACCTCTTGACTGGCGATCACTTTCAGCTGCTCCGACTTGCCACTCAGCAGATTGGACAGTACGTCAGAAATATTTTTTTTCCCTATCCACATTAGTATGCATTGTTACGATGGCAGATATCCTTAAATTGTATTAACTCGGATCTTCAGGCTGCTAACTCAAACTCTTAGTTGACTGTAAAAAAAGAGAGCTCGTCAGTTTCCAAACGATGCCCCTTTTCGTCATGAATACTAACTAGCTGGTCGAACATGTGGCGCATATGCAGGCATAGGAAGTATGCTTACAGTGCTCGGATTGTATGAAGATCTAAACTCAACATTAAAGAATAACATGTGTTTTGGTCCTAGTTTGAAGGGCATACTAGATTTGTTTGTATTTGCCTTGATATTTTACAGGCGGTAGTTTTCGTCTGTACTGTGACAGACATCATCAGAGCAAGAATCCATAATTTACGAACTAGAGCAAAGATATACTAAACTAAGAGAAAAGATTGCCGGCTGCAAGTCTAGGCGCTTTTTCAGAAACCTAATCTTGCCAATTTAATAAGGTATCGCATCATTTGGTTGGCTACTTCATCTATGCATGCTTGCAAATGGGTGAAGTTACTTCCCGAACCGGAAGTGCATTCGGTGGCATCTGTTCCCTTGCACAACTAAACTAATGGTGATCCTTTAATGTGGAATCATGGCTGGGCTTGTGCTATTGTCTATTGTGCGTATGCAATGTTGATGTCACAGCTAGACTCGAGGCTAATCCTGGCTCCTCTTGTTTACTGGCTCTTCCTGCTTTCTTTCTCTTTTCCTCTCCTTAAGCCTATCCAACAGCCACAAATAGTTCAGACTCAATTTTATTCATATGTTTTTGTCTAGTCAGAACATTGTCTATTTTATTCATTTCTATGGCGAGCTAAGCTCTTTAGGACCCATAGACTTTTACATGCGGTTTTTTGTTCGTATTGTCTCTTCTGGATGCGTCGGCAGGCCTTCTCCACATAGACACTACCACATGAGCACAAAACCTTGTAGCAGTCTGATCTAGAAATAGATTATAAACATTTTCTAAACTAAGGAATTACTGAAAAACGTGCGAAATTCACGTTATCCATTGTTCTGATGTTCAACATCCTCAGTATATAACTTAACTTTTTCGCAAGCTGACAGGTGGGCACAATAGATAACCAAGTAGAATGGTCCAATTGCCTATCCCGCTCTAGCTAGCAATCTCCTCTCCTCTTGGTACTGACAATTGAAATGTAATTATCTACTAATCCTAATTGGCAATTATTTTGAAACAATGAATGCCTCACTCTACCGATCTTCTGGTCCCTGTGATTTACTTCTGCTAGACCCAGACTCCTCATTAGCATTGATTTCATAAATTCAATTTTCATTCTATATTCATATTTTGAGAAGAAATAAATAAGATAGCTCACGTGTGTCCGTTTTCTATACACGTCTCTGTCCAACTTATTACCTTATATGCTTACTTATACAGCCAAAAAAGGCAAATTATTTCCCTTTTCTAATTTCATAGTAAACTTATTATTTGCATCTATTCAATCTATTCAGTCAAACTATCTTTTAACTTTTGCCAAACAGTAAAAGTAATCATCCATTTAACGAACTAATAGGTTGGAAACTAGGATTGCCTCTTGAAACACCCGAACTTCTCGTTTATAAGCAGGTTTTCTTACATAAACGAACTTCTAATTGGGCCATGTAATTGTTAG